GAACCTCTAGTGTACACACATGGATCAGCTAATGATTTCTTGAAACCAGTTTCCAACAAAACTTTTATCTAAACATTGATGCCAACATCTCCCAGCTTGTTTCAATCCTTTACGCAACTTATAGACTTTTTGGGAATCACCACATGTGTAACCTGGTGCTTGTTTCATGTACACAGTTTCAGGAAGATCAGCATTCAAATAAGCTGTGTCCACATCAAAATGATGAACAATCATATCCCTTTGTGTAGCTAAGGCCAAAATTACACGTAATGACTCAGGCCTAACTGTAGGTGCATATGTGAGATTGTAATTCACAAACTGTTCTTGTGAATACCCTTGTGCCACTAATCTAGCTTTATACTGAACAGTATCATCAGGTAAAAGCTGCTTTTTAAATACCCATCTGGAATCTATGGCCTTTTGTGATGGAGGTAAATCAGTAATTTCAAAAACATTCTGTTTTACCAATGCCTCAAATTCATTATCCATAGCAATGTTCCATTTCTCTTGTTCATCTATAGGCAAGCTTAAAACTTCTTCAAAACATTGAGGTTCACATGTAATCTGACACACTCTCACTTGTTGAATTACAAACCTCTCAGGCAGAAGACCCTTTGTTGCCCAAGTGGATCTATGAGGAATTTCAATAACACTTTCTTCCTTTCTCTCTGTTTTCTGCTCTAACTCAGTTAACTCCCCCTCCTGGCCCTGAACCTGTTGTGGTGAAATCTGTTCTTTTTTCATCTGAGTGGGCTCTTTGAGGACTTGTGGAGATATAGGTGCAAAAGGTGGTAATTGCTCTCTCACTAATTCTGTGTTTGAATTCAAAATAACTTTTGAATTTGCGTGCAGCCTTTTCCAATCAGTAGGCTTTTCGAAATTAGCATTTCTAGAGATTACAACCTGACCATGACCTAAAGAAAAATTTGTCTAAGGTTTTAACCTTAGACAAACAAATCCATTATACATTTTGACCTATAACTTTCTTTAATAATTAAAGGATTTATCCCCATAGGCATAAAAAATACCGCTTATGAAAAAATCTTTAAATCCTCATCTTACAATTCTGGTCCAAAAAAAAAAAGATTCCAATAATAACAACCCAAAATTGCAACTTATACAATTTAATCTTGATCAAATAAGTCCACTTTGAACTCCTTTTTTTTTTCTTTTTAAAAGGCTTGATCTTCAGTCACTTCTTCCAATATAGTCCCACATGATAATCTCTTATAATTTTCTCCCTGTCTGTTTTCAGGAACAGCTCCAGAAATTTGATTTTTCCCTTCTCTGGATCCAAAATAAGATAACTCTGAGTCACTCTTCTGATTTATAATCTGAATGTCCCCTTTAATTATTAAAATGTCAACCAGCATAATGTATAGGTCCAATGCAGCTTCTTTTTCCATGTCACTGTCAAAGTTGAACATCTTTTTCCATGTTTTCCATATCTCTTTTATAGTCTGACATTTTTTTTAAAGCACATTAAAATCCCCATTCAAATCATCCTCAGCCTCTCTTTTATCCAATAGAATCTTTTCTTCTTCTATAACCTTTGTTAGCACCACTTTGAAGTTTTGAACCCCTGTCAGAAAGTTTTAAAAATAGGTCCTGAACACATTGTTCCCAAGCCAACTTAAATTCTATAGTGAAATAATATTCCTCCATTATGTTAGTACATATCTTCTCCTTTAATCTCTGGTTCCCTCTAGTTAATCTTCAAAGCCCAGTCTTATCTTTTGTTTATTTTCAGAGTCCAAACTTTCCCACAGTAAGGCTTCTTACAGTTAATTCCAAAATCATGAGCTGTATTTTTTATAAAATTTAAAATAGTCCATAAAAACTATTCTTTCAGATCTGTCTGGCCCTTAACTGACCACAGTGAATATTCTAAACCCTTTTGCTATTCCAAAAATTTAATTTTTTTCTTTTAATGTTTACACTTACTTGAATCTTCTTTCTTCAAAGATAGAGTGAAATTCTCCCCGTGTGCAGCAACTTGTCCTTCAAAAGGTTTTTAATTTCCAAATAAATTGGTAATAAGTAGTTTCCTTGGTCAATTAAAAGAGGAAGTGTATGTGAATCTAGTGTCCTTTTGAAGGCTCTGAACTGTAGCTTAGGCTCTGTGTTTTCCACGACTCCCAGAGTGCTCAACCCACTGGAGATTGCTAATTTGCAATCTCTTCACAGGGACCCTCTGTAAGAAGTACTTGTGTGTGATCCAGTCATCTCCTTTGTCCGGAGATGGTTCTGAAGAACCAGATTTTTCGCCATCTCCTCTTCTCCAACTCAGCTGTCAGCTCCGCAAAAACGGAGCTGTCTTCAATCCATTATTACTCCCCCAGAGGTCTCCTGTAACAGTCTGTTTTGCAATGAACCAGTTACATTTGAAGTATCTAGAGTCTGTCCAGAAGCGTGCCCCTGGTGGTGGGTTGGAAGTGCTTGATATGCGTAACTGGTGCTTGGTGGGGGGCAATTGGCATTAGACTTGGAGTAGTCCCTGGGGAAACCCTGGCCAGATTTTCTTTCACCTCTTAAATAACTAGGTCACGGTGATATATTTACATTTCCCCATTAGGTCTGGATTCCACATGTCATGCCTCAATCAGATTAAATGTTGATTGTTTCAGCCTGTCTGACATGAGGGGCTGGGTGGGGACTACTCTTACAGAAGTGGCAATTTTCATGAAGAATAGCAGTATCAGCAGCAGCAGCAAGTAAAGGGTAGACCATGAAGTTAATTGTTTTGCATAAGTCTTTAGATATATTACATCCATTTCTGTATTTTATGTTATATTACTTTAGGTAAAATAACAGTGGTTGGCTGGTTTTGTGAGCAACAAAAAAGCAATGGGGGAACTTTATAGCCATTTGCTTTTTTTAACTTTAGGTGTAATATTTATCTCTGTCTTTGCATTTTCTATTACTTTATCCTATCTAAAACACGAAGAACACATTTTTTTAAAAAAAGTTATGATTAAAGTTATCTATTATCTTAATTTTGCAGTTAATCAGTATGGTTACCCCTTGTAAAGGTGAAGTGTATACATTTGGTTAATGCCTCTCCTTTCTCATTTCCACTACAGTGTCTCTTGGGCCTTATTTCCCATGCCGTGAAAACCTGAAGTTGATAGGAGGCAAAAGTAATATCCGCCCACCTCGCCCTGAACTTAATATGTGCCTCTTGCCCACAATGGTAGAAGCTAACAAGGTATATCTATCAAGAAACTAGAAGTTACCTTAGGAGTATGCCTTGATTGGATGAGTCTTAAGAATAATTGTGGTTTGGTTGTTGTTGAAGAAAACTGGGTTTTTGGGTTTAATTTATCATTCATGGGCCTAATTTATCATGCATGTAACAAAATTTCAATGGCTGCTTTGTTATAGTAGTTTTATAAAAGAGAGAGAGATTCTTCAGAAGGAGCCGTGTCTGAAGAAGAAAAATGCCTCTACCTATATTGCTCACATCTTTGATCCCCCAAAATCCATACAAGTAGTTTGGGTCTCAGATATATTCAGTCTTTAATTGAGAGTGGGAAAGTGACAAGCAAGGAAAAGGGGCATTCCTTTTAACATCGTAGGTTTCCTACACATTTGTGTAAGTTTTAATAATTCCTAAACCAAGTTTTGTAGCAAATAATTCTTGAACCAGGTTCTGTAGATTTTTTTACCGGTAGATTACCGTAGTCCTTTGAAAATTGTTCATTTTTTAACATTTTAGATATTGTACTTTTCATGTTTTTATTTTGTAAACAAAACTTTCCTTAAATCTTCAGGGTAAAGATGAGGTTTATGACCGTATGCTACTAGATTACTTTTTTTCATACCACCAGTTCATCCATCTCTTATGCCGAGTTGCCATCAACTGTGAAAAGTTCACAGAAACTTTAGTGAAGATGAGTAAGTATGAATTTGTACCTTGGTTAAAAGATTCTTTTTCAAATTAACAAGCACATTAGTTGACAAGGCCTGTTCTTTAGGGCATAGGCCAGTGCTTAGCACCTTTGTGTATATGGAAGGGTAAATTGCACCACCATCAGAATTAATAAAGGTTTAATTTTTAAGTCCATTGAAGGTAAATAGATGCTATTAATAAATGTTCTCTTTCATTTTTTTTAACTATCCGAACAGTTGCTTTATTCAGTTTTTCAGCTGATTTGCTAGAATAGTAAATTGGAATTAAATGAATTAATATCTTTTTAGCAGAAGCATACTTATGTAAATTCAAGGATGAAGAATTTTATTTAAATGCTGTTACATTGCCAACTAACTGTGGAATAAATAAGAAAGACAGGGTAATTATTTGCATATTTATCTGAGTGAGCCATGCTAAACATAGTAAATTTGAGTAAACATACACAGGATTACAACTGAATTGCAAATTACTTTAATTAAACACAACATGATTTTTTAATGGAAATCGGAACAAGGTCATTTGAGCTGTGGCTATAGATAAGATATATTTTCTTTCATTTTACAGGAGCTATACTGTAGTTTGTACCTTTTTATATCTACTATTTATTTATTTAACCAGCAACTCCCTTGGCAGTTTGCATCACTCATGACACCGAGCTTTCCTCTTAACTGTTAAAAGTTAAGGAACTCTATCTCTGGCATATATATGCCTTTATAATCTTAAGAAATTAACTGAATTTTTCTTTATAAAATGTAGGTGTTCTTGTTGCATATGAAGGCTTACCTCTTCATCTAGCTTTGTTTCCCAAACTTTGGACTGAGCTTTGTCAAACTCAGGTAAAATTAATTTATCTCTGAAAGGGATATCTTTATTTTATAAAGTAAAAGTGTTGTGTTTGTGTATGTGTACTGAACAGTACCATAATTCAGTGACAGAGAGGCCCTTTTGCATGGAGAAAGTCCTAGCTTCAATTCATGGTATTTTCAGTTTAGACTTTGTCTTGCAGTAGACTAAGACTTCTTTCTAAAAGCTGCTAGACAATTTTGGTCTGGCCAGAAAATAGCTTGACTTGTTATAAGCGTCTGTAGCATATGAGATTCCAATAGCTTCAGATGTAAAAGTATATTGGTGAGCAGTGCAGCAGAAGTTGATTTTACCAATTAATTATTTTATTAATAAAGGGCAGGGTGAAAGATGTTGAGGAATTGTTACAAACTGGTGCTATATTTATTCTCTTAGAAGATTCTGAAAAATTCAGTTCAGATGAATGACTTAACATCTCTGTGTAACGAATTGGAGTCACACATCCACAGTGATTCAGATGGAATACTAGTTCTGAACCTCTGATCTCCTTTCTCTTTTCAGTCTTCCATGTCAAAAAATTGCATCAAGCTCCTGTGTGAAGATCCCGTGTTTGCAGAATATATTAAATGCATCCTAATGGATGAGAGGACATTTCTTAACAACAACATTGTTTACACTTTCTTATCCCATTTCCTTCTCAAGGTATGAGAAATTTTACGCCTTGGTCGGAGATTCAGGTATTCTCACATCCAAATGCTATACCATTGTCCTATAGTCCATTGAAGAGTTCAGTGACTTATATGAAATGGCCCATCACCACATATCTTGTATGAGTCAAGAAGAAGTACACGGGTGAGGTTAGGGAACTTGGAAGTTGTTAGTGGTCTAATGTATCCTGAGCAGTTTTTTTCTTTAAAGATACTTTAGTAATTGGTTTGTTTGAAGGAGAAAACTGCTGCTAAATGCCTTTTTTGCCTTTCCAGAAGTAAAAGAAAGTAGGCACTTAAAAAGGTGGATAACTTTATGTACATGAGTATGAATATTTTGCTGTGCAAGCATTACATAGGTACAGGTAGTCCTCGACTTAGAACCATTCATTTAATGACTGAAGTTATGTCAGCACTGAAAAAAGTGACATGACTGTTCTTCGCACTTACAACCATCGCAGCATCCCTGCAGTCATGTGATCAAAATTCAGGTGCTTGGGAACTGGCACATATTTACGACAGTTGCAGCATCCTGGGGTCATGTGATTGCTATTTGCGACCTTCCCAGGGGGCTTCCAACAAGCAAAGTCAGTGAGGGAAGTGGATTCACTTAATGACCTTGGTGATTCACTTAACAACTGTGGCAAAAAAGGTCATAAAATTGGATGCAACTCATTTATTGCTTAGTAATGGAAGTTCTGGTCCCAATTGTGGTCGTAAGTTGAGGACTACCTGCTTTCCAATTTGCAATGTAAGAGAATATACACATACACTTGTGAATTAAATAATGTAAATGGTGTTTTTAATGTGATACTTAATAATTGATATAGATCTGTTTGTACGACAGACACCCACCATCTGCCTCTCTTTCTCTTTCAAACTTCCATATCCATAGTTCTATTTGCAGTAGGAAATAGTGCTGTGATGAAATCATTTCAGAGAATTGCAAATTAAGTTTCAAAATCACTTATTTTACAGGTACAAGGACAAGTGTTTTCTGAAGCAAATTGTGCAGGAATAATCAATAATCTGATTACAAATTTGATCAATCAGTATCAGAATATGGAATCAGAATTTGCCAATCAGCGAGTTGAGATTTTTAAAGCAAGCTCCACTTTAAATGGGGTAAATTATCTTTATTTTCTCTTTAAATACTGTATTTTTTTATCTAAAGCATTTTTATTCCTATTCCTCAGATGAAAAAGGTTCAAAAAGACAATCACATAGTCTCAAGCTTTAAACTTAAAAAATATATAATATATAAAAATTATTAGAGAAGAAAGAGGAAAAAAAGGAAATTCAGTTGCTAGTTTTTAGTTTCCGAATAGAACACCCATGCCCAGAGCAGTTCAAAACTCACAATTCAAAAATAGGCACCTGTGTGCTTCTAGGAAGAGCATGCATCCTATATTATTGCTGCTGCTGCTGCTGCTGCTGCTGCTGCTGCTGCTGCTGCTGCTGCTGCTGCTGCTGC